GTTTCATCCGATTAGACTTACTTCTCACTTCCCAGCACCAGCAAATAATTCAATGGTGATATTAGGAAGTGTCCAGCACAACATCTAAGCAAAGAGATTTATCTGTAGAGCTCAGAAACCCGTTTTATTTGTGAAAATTTTCCTGCAGGAGTTGCTTTGCAAGACGTTTGCCAGAAAGGAAAGCTGGCTGCCTCAGCGTCAGCTCCTCCACCTGCCGCTACTGCTCTTATTCATGCAGCCCTTCTAAGTCTTAGTGCAAGTTTCCTGCTTGGAAAAAAGCCTTAAATATCCCCATACTGGCAGAGATAACATCTGTCAAGTGCATTTGAATGCAGCCACTTGTAATTACTCATTTTCACAAACTAGGTCTCTGTCTCAAGTCCCATCAGGTATCCAAGACATGATGGTCATGGAAATGCACCCAGGATTTCTCAGTCTGAGGCAGAACAACTTACACTGGCAACCAGGGAAGGGTCTGAGCTTCATCCCTGAATCCAACCAGAGCCATCACTCCTCTCCTGACAGCTGAACTACAGCAGTGACTAGTTCATTACAGTCATATAATACAGTCACACTGTCCAATATTGGACATGAATGACACCACCAGTATCTGGTTCTTTGCACGCAAACCATCACGAATGTGATCCCCCAGCTACCCATCAGCAGGGCCAGACCCTTGGCTCTGCTCACGTTGCAAAAACCCTTGGAAAAATCCTAGTGGATGCAGCCAGTGGGAAGACAAGTACATTCACATCCAAGGAGCTGCTCCCATCAGTAGCTCACAGCCCATCCCACCCATCTGCTGAGCATCCCACCCATCTGCTCACTCTTATGAGAAAAGAGAGTAAGAGGATACAAGGGGGTGATTGCAACCTGCAGTGAGCTGTGGACACCCACGACTTCAAAAGGCCAAGCAGATGCTGAAACCTTTCTTGAAGTGTTTGGGAACAACTAATAAATACAATGAAAGTTGATGAGTGAGCTACTGGCTGTCAGACAGCTGGCCTGGCATTACAGATGATCTTCTGCAGGCGTATCAAGCAGGGAAACAACAAGGTGATCATCTCAAGAACAATCCCCCTGAGAGTTATCCTCCCTCACAGAAATGTCTTGGACTGGTATCCAACATTAAAAAGCCCCATGACCTTGAAACATTTTCAGATATTAACAGAAAGGGACGGTAAAGCTTCTGGAAAGTAGGCCATGTTCCAAGCAGACAGGGAAATATGTTAACTGCTGCTGAAAGCAGAGGCCTGGATACTAGAAATACCACCATAGCCAACAGACCTCATTCCTTAGACACAGGCAGCACTAGATGGATCAGTAGGAAAAAGAAACACAGCAATTCTTGGTAGCACTTGATAGGAGTCCTGCAGAAACTTTCCTAGGCCATCTGCCTGGATGGCTGATGGAACAAGTGAGATCCAACATGAAAAACTATGTTTTCTGAGACTGTAGCTTAAGCCTTGGCTTTGGAGCCACACAAAAGACACAGAGCAGCTTAACTGGAGCAGTTCTCCCTGTTTACTAATAGCATAACTGCTCTGAAGAAACCCAAACTTACATGGGAGTGGGGGGACATGTTACTTTGCACATAGCGCTCACCTGAAATAACAGGTACAAAATTAAGTGGTCACTAGGAT